TAAATAAATAAATAAATAAATTTGGTTTCTGCTTTTAAAATGTTAGGAATATTTATCTACGTATTCAATTTCTATAGCCACCATTTCAATCAATGACTCTGGCAGGATTACAGGTCTAATATTGTGTCTCTGGGGGAATCAGCACCTTGTAGCTTCTATGCAGCAGGGATTGCGTAGGCTAAATACAAGTCCCCTCGGCCAAGGGGAGCCCCAAGGCCACCTAGCATGGCAGATTTTCAGGCTGGCAGCAAAGAGGTTCAGCATCAATCTGTAATGATATGTGGGAAAGACCTTAGACAGGTGAAGAGATGCTGCCTAGGGAATAGTCAGATAAGAAACAGCATAGCCTGTAGCTGGAAAGTTGGTTTGGCAAGAGGCTCAGAAGGGACCCTCCCTGGTTTCTCAAGCTGTAAGGGAGACAGCAGAAAAATTGTACCTTCAGACTGTTAATGTAGTTTTAAAATAAAGTAAAATTAGTTTATCTGACCACATTTCCTGTCTGGTCTACTTGGAAAGGCTGACTCAACCCCTGGGCTGAAACAGATATGCTGGGTTCATCAAAATGGATGATGTCCATTGGTTGTTAATGTATATCTTTGTGTGTACGGTATGAGAGAAAGAACCAGTGTGCTGCAGGAGCAGGGAAAACCTTGGTTCTAGTCCTTCCCTAAAGCATAGAGAGGATGGGTGACATTGTGGGGTACATTTATTTTAGAAGTGCTTTTGACTTCAAATAAAGGCCAAAGAGAAATTTGGCTGCTTTTGCACTTCTGTTCCATTTGTATGACTAATGGATGGATTGTACTCAAAGTAATTTATTCCCGGGAGAGTATTTTAACATTGAAATGAAAATTGCTGCGTTCGTGCCATATAACCTTGTCAAGTCCTGAACTTTTTTGAATAATTTTTGAATGCTGGTTATAATGTTTTAGTTTGTGATGTTTGGTTTTGGCCGATTCATGCCTGGAAACGGAACACAAAAAAGGTGTGCATCTGGGTTTCAGAGTACCCATCGTTCCTATAAACAAATATACTCTTTCAAAATTTAATTTACTTCATTTAACATAGTCATGAAACTGTTTCTCAGATTAATTCCTTGTTTGATTTAGGAATTGGTGCTACAGACCAATCTAGAAAGTTTATACCTCAATCAGAGGGGTACACAGGGATTTAAGCCTGAGGAAAAATGAAATACATGTTTAAGGTAAACACCAAGAAAGATTAAAAATCTATGAATGAAAATTTTCACTCTGAAAAAAATGGCCTTTTGACACTTCTTACTGTGCTATAAAAGTTAAAGTTTTTGAATAACATTTAATCTATTTGCTGAAATAATAAAAAATAAATCAGTAAAATATTTCCCCCCACATTTCTGCAGTTTATTAAGCCATTCGTGGTATGCCTAATTTTCATGATACTCAAATGTCTTCCTGCTTTTGTTTCTCTTGTGTATGGCATCCTGTCAGAAGGAGTTCTATGAATCAGGCTGGGTATTTCCACTGAAGAAAACTTTAGCTTCTCTTATTGTATGACTGACCTGATTCAAGGGACTTTTCAAAAGGTCCCTGTAATATGTTTCCTCCATGTGAAATCCTTTTCCCACTTTTATATATTTTTTTATATTTTTTTCTTTTCTGAGAAAAAGTTGAGAAATAAATGAAATAGTTGTACAGCTCCTTTTGAGTGATAGCCCAAAAGGCCTTTGTCTAAATGCATCTATTATTCACAAAGAGAAATAGGTGAGACATTTATGACCTGTAATTCTGGTTAGGCGTGTATGAGCCTCTAATTGAAATATGGGGAAATATGAATCTCCTCTTCACAGAATACCTTTCAGCACTAGTAGAAAAGGCTCATCTGTTGGCACCTGTTAGCTTGTTGCCTTCCAAAGGAACAAATGTTATGGATAAAATACCACTGTAGCAGAACCATCTGAGCTTTTCTTTCTGAATATCTAAGTGTCTAAATTGTGAAGTCTATTTCTGTATGTTGAGAATATGAATCTTAAAAACAAACATATAAAAATAGGACAAAGAATTGTCATATGTTTCTAAAAAAGGTCCCCTAACATGTTTCTTTAAAGAAAGCATAGTCAGGATGACACATTTTCAAATTATGCAACATCTACATTTTTAATTTGCACACCAAGCAAAACCTTGGTGTGTCTACTGGAAATTATTCCAAGATAGTATACAAGGTTATGGTTAAAAAATAGTTAACAAGAAAGGAAGAATAGATTTTTTCTTCCCCTCCCCCAATTACTTTTATAATAGGAAGGTGATCTTATATTACCTTATAATACAATAATTGAGGCAGATAAATTGGGTGGTGGTGTGGGGGAACTATAATCTTCCTTTTGAGTGAATACAGTAACTTGTGTTCTGAGGGGCTGAAGATTGAAGGACATTCAAGAATTTTTGCTGAACGTTTTGCCCCTCCTCACATTTCTTTTCAAATAATTTTCAGTTGAAGATAGGACCTTCAAAACTAATAATTGTCATGGGCCCTGACTACTCTCTAGAACAGCACCATTTCAGAGACATAAAAGATCATTACTGAACAGTTAACTATTGGAAATAGTTGCCCCTCAGTTATGCAGGGAAGTTGAACTAAGGACTAGAGCTTTGTACATTCTTCTTAAGGGTCTCTGAAAAGTCTATGTGACTCACTTTTAAAAAGACAAATCTGCAAGCAGGGGTATTCTCTATGGCATTCAAATAATTTAAATAACTTTTTATCTTATGAAACTTGCACAAAATATGTTTGCTCAAGGCTTTGTTG